TTTCAAAGTGGCAGCACTATCCCCTCCCTCTATCTCATGGAGGGGGAAGGGAAGGAGAAAAATCAACTAGTCAAAATACTATCCGATCGACTTGTCTTTTACATCCTTACTACACAGCAGAGTTATTTCGGAATCACATCAGTTATTCCAAAATAAAGAGCATGTCTACGCTGCAAGCCATTATTTCAAAATACTGGTGAGCTGGAGGACTTCTTATTCTGACTCTATAACCCTCATTTTACAAGGAGTAAGAGCAGTTGAAGGAAGAGTGTTTTTCCTTCAATTTCCTGCTGTGTAGACAGTGACAAAAGCCAAATTAAGCAATTTTGACTTAAGCTATGCAATTGACTTAGCTGAAGTTGCACAGCTTAATTCAACTTTTGCCCTGTATAGACGTACCCTTACTGACACATAACATATTGAAAAAGTTACCTCCAGCATAATTTACTTTTCAGCGTTTCATGTTCTTGTTCTGTTATATGTACAATGTAATGGAATTAAATTTTAGTAAGGAAGGAGTTTTTAATGTAACAGCTAACATTTAAAATTTTGCATAATTTTGACTGATCGGCAATCTAAATTACACTGTAGCTGATAGTTTCTAAAACTGATTCTTAGACAAATTAAACATTTCTGAGTCCAACATTCTAATATTACCAACTAGGAATGTAAGCAAATAGTTGACCATCTGATAAGCAAAAGCTTATCGGATAGTCGACTACTCCCCCAACTAATAGGCAGGTGCAGGAGCCAGTTCCTCCCAGCACCATCTCCATAGGGTCAGAGGAGTAGCGGAGATCAGGTGCAACCCGAGAATCAGCTGATTCCCAGCTCCCACCCAGTCCCAGACATTGCACCTCTGCTTTTTAAATGTATTAAGAGCCTGCTGGCTAGATTACGAGCATGCAGCCTTGCTGCATGTTCGCCTTTTATATGTATTAAGAGCCAACAGGCTCTTAATACATTTAAAAAGCAGAGCCATGGTGCGGTTAACTTCCAGGTCGGGAGCTAACCCCACTCAGCTTCCCCCACTTATCTACTAGTCAATGGAAAACCCATTGACTAGTTGATTAGCTGATTAAATTTAGTATCTCTATTACCAACATTAACTTTATTCACTAACTTTATTCATTACTTTATTAATCCATTTCATATATACTGATTTTTGCAGCGGCAACCCATAGATTATTTCTGACTTGAGCCTCGTTTCATTGGACCAAAAGTAACTAACTCCACCAAAGTGTAGTCCCTGCTACCAATTACAGTAACTGTGATGCTAAGACTCCCTGATTCAATTCATTTACTTGTTATATGAGAAATCTATTTCCAGTTACCAGAACAGCAATCCAGAACTAGCAAAGATATTCAGAGGAGCCAGTCATTTATTAGCACAACAAATCATTGTTCTCTCAATACAGATATGCAGTATTAAAGTATCCTGCAAGTTATTCTCTTTTTGTTTGTGGGGGAAATTAAAGATTTTTTTTTTTTTTTAGAATTTCTATATGTTTAGGAAAGACTCCTATTGGAGGATGATTTTTTGGGCTAGTTTTATGAAGGGATAGAACAGGTAAATTAAGTCAAGTTCTATTATTTTGATTTTGAAAGATTACACAGGTGAAATTTAATCCTCAAGATACCAATGGAAGTTGGGGTAACATCAGTTAATCCCTGGAGATAAAATGAACTTCACAGAAATGAGCTCATCATAACCATCCAGAAAAGGGCTGCATCATTTCGTATGTTTTACTGAGGTAGTTAGAGCAAATAAAGTCAGGGTGATAACACAAAGAATTGTTCTTCACTTCAAATCAGTGGATATTAGGGATGCAAAAAGTCATTTAAAAAAATGTAATAGTAACCGCTAAAAATCCTTGCAGTTACACAAGCTGTGGGCGCTGCAGTATGAAGCTTAAATAAGTTTTATATTGCAGAGCCCATATTAAAGCTTCCCTGGGAGCAGAGTTGATAAAGGCTGCCGGCTCCACTCTTGAGGAGGTGGTTTTGTGGCCACAGTGAAGCCACCTTTCCAGAAACGCTGCTAGCAAGGGCTGTTGGCCCTTCTCTCAGGGAAGCTTTGGTGCAGGCTCTGCTCCCGGGTAGTCAACATATAACATATGGTAGGAGGAAAAGGGGCAGATGGACCTGCCACGGACAGGCGCTGCTCTGGCCAGAGAGCCCCTCCTCATGGCTGGAGCAGCAATTAACTAGTTAACCATTTAAATTCCTCATGGATGTATTGATATACTCAAGGTTAAAGATCATCATCAAATAACTAATAACTTTATTTTGAATTTGAAAGAACAAATTTGGAAAGATGTATTCCCCCTCCCCAAAATCAACATAGTGGGTTGAATTAGCAAGTATTTGTATATGAAATGAACAGGCTAAATTTCCTTCTAATTCTAAAGTTGACGGGTCTTCACTAGAGGTTAGTAGCTAGCAGTGGGAAAAGTGCACAGTTTAAAGGGGTTGAAAGGTGAAAGGAAGATCCAAGAGAAAACTAGCTGAAGCTCTGATTACTTATCTGACACTTTAGATGAAAAATCATAGTGTTGTCATGTGGCTCCTGGCTTAGAGAATCACCTTTAATCCTGTGATCGTAAATGTCTGCTTTAACAGGGACATAATTTAAGATATAAAATTGGTCAAGTTCATTGCAAATTCTTTGGGACAGGGACTGCATCTGTACAGTGCACAGCATAATGGAACCCCAATATGAAGGGTCAACTAGATGACACTAATGCAAATATTTAAAAGATTTCACATTATGTTCCTCTTTCAACACTTATAATTGTTTGAACTATTCACAAAAATACTCTAAATCTCTTGCTGAAACTTTCTAAGGCTAGAGATTCACCTGCAAAAAAACCAAAACAAAACCCTATGCATATTATTACCCTAGGGAAGTTAACAGGCTTAGTTAATTATAAACCCATAAAAGCAGCCTAGCAAATGCAACAGAAGCCATAAAAGTTGTCGTCCTGTTGGTCTGCTCATCCAGAAAACTTCTCCCTCTTCAGTAACTCATAGTATTATTGGCCAGAGAAGCAATAGCAATGACAGGTAAACTGATTAAGTATAGCTTGCCTTTAGAAACTCTAATTTTTCACCATCTTGCTTCCTCTCCTTCCGATATTTTTCTCCTCCATTTAAACTGGATGAACTATCTATGCGGTATTCTACTCCTTTGTCAGTAAAAGGACACTTCTCTAAAGCCTTAAATAAAAGGTAATTAAATAAAAAACATATCTTGAAAAATTCTTTTCAGAGTCTGCTCCTTAAATAGCTCTGGCCTAGAATCTAAAGTACACGTTGGATCTCCCTAGTCCAGCACCCTCAGGACCTGACTGGTCCCAGACAAGGGAAATTGTCAGACCAGAGGTCTGCAAGAGCGAGTGGGAGAGTGCCAACCTCCCAATTGACTCCTCTCCTCAGCCCCGCTGAAGCTGCAGACGGCCCTGCCACCACCCCGCTGTCTGCAGGCTCCTCTGCCCTACCGATTCCATCAGCAGGCTCTGCTTCAAGCCACCGGCAACCTTTGCCACTGGGGCGCTCTAGTCCTGTAACATCCATGGTCCTATTGGACCATGGATGTTGCCGGACCAGAGAGTCCCGGACCACAGAAGTTCAATCTTTACCTCTCTCTCAGTGGAGAAAGTGAACAAGGTAGGTAACGGTGAAGTTTAGGTGTAACGTTCTTACACTTTCTTTACCCTTCCTTTAATTTTCTGTTTAGGGGAGGAGATGGGGAAGAGGATAAAGGGAAGGAAGCAGACAACTTTCACAGAGTAATGTCTTACCTAGGAGACATATCCTAGAAACACAGCAGTTGAAAAACGTTTGGCTGACCAAACCAGGCAATAGGAGACATATCCCCACCCTTTAATTCAGAAGCCCTGCTGCAGGGAGGAAGAATGCTTGAATTAGACAGTTTTCCAGAATTATAAAAGTGGTGTGGGATAGATCCAAAGCCCATGGGGGGGGGGGGAGGGTGGAATCAATTGAAACATATCAACGGGCTCTAGATCAGGCCTTTTCTGAAGCCCATCTCAGTAGAATCAAGCTTTTAAACGTGTTAACGGGATGCTTGTCTACTAGGGATATAAAATCCTGTTTAGTTACTTAACTGGTCAAACGTTATTTAACCAGTTAACCACTTAAATGGGGGTGGGTGGGACAAGGCTCATCAGACCACACCTCACACCAGTGGGGAGATGCTCCAGCTCAGCTCAGCTGGGCCAGTTAACTACTGACATTCCTATAGTCTACCACGTTCTCCTGTCTTTGAGCCTAACCAAAGAACAGCCTTTGACAGCTGGAAAAATGTATTCATATGTGAAGTTCTTTTGTAGCTTTTCTTAGCTCTTTAAAAGGGTAAGTTGTCCTTCACAATGGGTAGTACACAATACCTCAATGTGGATGAGTGACTAAGTCCCACATATTGATTTCAGGACTAAGATTTCCTGGGCTTTTTGAGGTATTTAAGAGTGCTTGTCTTGTTATGACACTAAGGTGAACACAGACTAACAATAGAATAGATTAACAGGAAAAGGTTTTTGGCAGCCAAACTTGCTTAAAGCTGAACGGCATTTTTTTTTGGTTTTTGCTTTTACAAATGGCTACTAATTACCTGTTCCAAAATGACAACAGGCTCAATCTCAATAGATATGGCTAATATGGTCCATAAAAGCAGAAGAAAAAAAAAAACAGAAGAGCAGCAGCTGAACTAGTGAGATTCTTTATTTATACTGAGCTACATAACAGCTAGGTGGAAGATCATCTGTACACTGAAAAGATACTACTGAGGACTGGCAAACAGTCGTTAGTTTGGCATAGGTGCCACCTACGTAGTAACAAAGAAAATCTAACCTACCATTCCTTTCTATGATATTGATTTCAACTATTTATTTTCATTAGATAAGTCATTCTAGCAACATTTAATTCTTTCTTGCTATTTTTGCCATCCCTTTCACCCACTGGAAAAATCTGTGCCTTACGTTTCTGTCAGTCCATAGGCTAGGTCCAGCATGTCCATCTCCTCATCAGTAATTGCATCTAATTTCTCAAATATGTGGTCTTCAAAGATTAAGTGACAAGTGGAGCATGCCAAAGTTCCTTCACATGCACCTACAAAACAGACAGAAGTTTAATAGAAATACTAAGTTTGTTCTTGGGTTCAATGGTATCCACTGCCTGTCCCTGCACTGTGCACAAAGCGGGGGCTCTCTTGCTGTCATGACTACACCCATTAAATTGATAGGTTACATCTTACACTGCATTATAAAGAAATTTCCGTAGAATCTTTTCCTGATCAACTACGTGTTAATAAAAGTCAACCAATGAGTAATCACAAATGTTAAAGTGCATACATATAACATGCTATTAATTTCCAACAAATTCGTGTATTAACCAGAAATCTTATTAGGCAACAGAGAGAGCATTACTAGATTCATCCACTTTTTCCTAAGACATCACAAGTCTTATGAATTATGCACCAATATATTTACTGTAGTTTTGCTGAATTTATGCATGCAGTTTGAAAAGGACTAGAACTACTAAGGCAGGGCTAAATAATGAGAAGTACCTTATCATTAATGTGAATGTTACTTAAAGAACCTGAGAAAGTGCTATGTAGTACATGTGATATGAAATTTCAAATAAAACACTTGAAAAATTCACCCAGTTCCCACCAGCGCACAGAATAAGGCCAATAACCAGAATGCTTCCACTTCCAATATGGTTGGGGCCCTCAAAACAAAACCCATTTTGGTAGTGTATTTCTACATTGTTTCAGTATCTCCTGGACTTGCCCAGAGCAGCTCCTACCCATCATAATCCAGACAAAAATATCTGCTGTCAGATACTAGGTTATAGTGGACCACAAGCTGAGTATGAGTCAGCAGTGTGATGCTGTTGCAAAAAAAGCAAACATGAATCCGGGCTGCATTAACAGGTGTGTTGTGAGCAAGACATGAGAAGTCATTCTTCTGCTCTACTCTGCGCTGGTTAGGCCTCAGTTGGAGTATTGTGTCCAGTTCTGGTCACTGCATTTCAAGAAAGATGTGGAGAAATTGGAGAGGTCCCAGAGAAGAGCAACAAGAATGATTAAAGGTCTAGAGAACACGACCTATGAAGGAAGGCTAAAAGAATTGTGTTTGTTTAGTTTAGAAAAGAGAAGATTGAGGGGGGACATGATAGCTGTTTTCAGGTATCTAAAAGGGTGTCATAAGGAGGAGGGAGAAAACTTGTTCATCGTGGCCTCTGAGGATAGAACAAGCAGCAATGGGTTTAAACTGTAGCAAGGGAGATTTAGGTTGAAAATTAGGAAATGTTCAGGGTAGTCAAACACTGGAATAAATTGCCCAGGGAAGTTGTGGAATCCCCATCTTTGGAGATATTTAAGAGTAGGTTAGATAAATGTCTATCAGGGATGGTCTAAACAGTATTTGGTCCTGCCATGAGGGCAGGGGACTGGACTCGATGACCTCTTGAGGTCCCTTCCAGTCCTAGTATTCTATGCTACAATTTCAGGTCTGAATGGATTATCTGACTGTGATGCTGGAGACTTGATCATAGCTCCTATGAGCTGTACTGTCTGTGATAGGATAACAGAAATTTGATAGTTAACCAGCAGAGCTAGTTGGGCAAACAGTTTGAGAGAGCATGTGAGTGCACTTTCTAGGCTTGCCACTATCTCCTGCTGGGATCTGCTTTTGATCATCCACCCACTCAAGGAAGGATACTCAAGGTTAAAGATTATATGGGCCACCACCACCAAGAATTTATGAAGATTCAGGAATCACAGAGAGTTCACCTGGCAATACTTTGAGAGGTAGGAGAGTTACTTTGCATGCTGCCTGTTCTTCAAAAAGGCAATTCCCATTAGTCTGTTTCCAGCCAACGAGAGCTACCAGATTGTGCTGGGGCAGCACACAAAGCCTTTTCTCCCAAACCCACTCCCCCAGCTCACAACTGTTTGCAAATGCACATGGCCCCAGAACTGGCTTTTTTTTTTTAGCAGCATGTGGGGGCATGGCAGGGCAGGGAGCCTTACTGAGGCCCCTGCTGTGCCCATGGGCCAGATCCAACCTATGGGCCACATTTTGCCTGGCCTAGGTTTAGTATCTTTCATGATGCATTGCATTTGGAGCCAAACATTTCACTTGTACAGGGGTAGTGTTCCATGAAAAAAGGGGGAAAGGGGTAAAAACCAAAATTCTCTTCAAATATATGAAGCTTTCAAAAGTACACCTGGTCAGACGCTTGCTACAATCCACCGTACTGCTATGGGTGGCAAGAAGGAACTAAGGGAAGATCATGGCTTGGGGAAGAAATGGTACTTAGTCCCGTTGTGAGGGCAGGGGACTGGACCGGACCTCTCAAGGTTCCTTCCAGTTCTAGTGTTCTATGATTCTATAGCTGGCCCCAACTGTGCTGGTGGGAGCAGGGGACCATGGTACTGGGGCAGGGTGCCAGTGGGGGCAGGGTTCTGCAGCAGGGGACAGGGTATTGCTGGGGGCAGGGAGTCCCCCGCACCCACCTCCTCCCAGGTCTCCTTCTGCCCTACCCCCCGCAGATCAGGGAAGCCCCAGCGCCTCTGAGGCCTTCCTCCCCTCCCCCGCAAGTTCTCGGCACGCCACAGACCCAGGGGAGGGGAGCAACCAGCGCACTTCCAGAACCCCCGAAAGTGGCGCACAGCTGCAGGACTTCTGTCCACCCCGCAGGAAGCCGGCACTACCTCCATTGTCGCTGGAGGTAGGTAGTGGGGCTTCTTGAGGGGGAAGGGGGGGGGAGAGGCGGGCTGCGAATGCCTCACAATTGACTGGTCGAGCCCTCGCGATAGATCAGTTGATCGCAATCGACGGGTTGGTGACCATGGCTCTAGATACTATATGATTTCACAATTAAAAACCAATATTAAATACAGCTGGCATGCCAATTTAAATTAGCCACCCGAATAAAAGAAATACGTTTTCAGTTTGGATTACATAATCTCACTACACTGACCATTCCATTTAAATAATACAACTTATTTAACAAAGTTGTTTAAGTGAGGTGAATATAGTTAAGCTATTTTAAGTACCTTTATAGCACTATTGCTGCATCTGGAATGCCCTCTAGTGGCAAAATTGCACACTTAAAAGGTTTTACAAGACCAAATACTTTTAATAAACCAGTCCTATATATCAAACATACAGAATTTCTTTAACATTATGTAGGTCAGACTCAGCACCAAGAATGAGATTCTACTATCCCCCAAATTTAGTTTGCTTAAATATTTATTTTGGCTTCTTAAGATACAGACTATCACTTTTTGCTTCCAGATTTAAATAAGGAATTTTTTAAAAACACAGAATACAAACAGATTAGCTACAGGGCCTACATACTGTATTTAGAATTCCTAATAGAGTAGCTATGATATTTTGACATGCTCTAAACATTTAAGTAAATTAACAATTTTACTTTTAAATGATGATGTTAGGAATCTATTCTCCCATATTTTTGTGTGTGTGTGTGTGTGTGTGTGTGTGTGTGTGTGTGCACGTGTAATTATATATATAAAATTACACACACACACACACACACACACACACACACACACACACACACACAAAATAAAGAGAGTTTCTACTGATGTCAACAGAGATACCTGATAGGCACACTTGTAGCATCACCGATACGTTTATTTAACCTTCCTTTAAACAAGACTGAAACCTGTAAATTATGCACATGAGTAGTTTATTTCATTCTATTTTGTTCCTCTCTAATTATTATATTCTCAGTCACTTATCCATCTTTTCCTACTTCATTTCATTTGTTCTAGCTCTAGTCTCAAACCTCAATCCTGCAAGTTGATTTGTACGGATCCCAATCTGATAAGGGCATTTGAATGCTATTTTAGAAACCAGAATCCATTAATCTAGACTAGCACAGGATACTTCATAAAATTATGATATATTCACCAAATACCTGATCCAATTCTATTTAAAAAAAACCCAGTAAGAATCTCCCCAGACTTCAATGGGCATTAACGCGGTCCTAAATTACTTGCGCATGGCCAATGACGATGTACTATTGCACATGCAGCCTAAACCAATACATACCTAAGCTTTGCAAGATGATTAGACAACAGGAAAATTATAAATGATTTTTATCTAGGAATTACCAATATTAAGTTCTTAATACATTAAAATCGATATTTTATAATATAAAAGTTTTAATTCAGTAAATTAAATGAAACTATATAGCTTTTTTTCCTGAGAAACATGGAAAAGCAAAGACCTTACTTCTACTGCTTGGATACCTTTTAGTCTACAATCACTTTTTATTTTGATTACAAGAGACGCAAGAGGTGAAATTCTCCATTACAAGTGGCAAAGGAAAGGAAATAGACAATTTAGTTTCCCCTTTCATCCACCATCAAGATCCCCACTCTCTCTTGCACAGAGAGTTAAAGGAGCCTGAGCAGAATAGAATCACATCACATCACATGCTCTCCCCATCCCACTTTTGTTGTGACACCACTGGATAAAAAAATTTTAGGGAAATTTCTAGGAACACTGGAGGGTCAGGCGGAAGAGAAGAGAAATTATCTCTTTAAAGTGAGAACAACCCCCCTTCCAAATTCCTCCTCAAAAGAATAAAATAGAATACAATTCTTTCCCTGTCAACAATCCTTTCACAACTCCTTTTCTGAGAAGGAAAATAAAAGTCTCATCTTGTTTAGATGATCATCTCTCTGAGGTAGGGACCATGTTTGTCCTTGAGAAGTGTGTGTGAATTTAAGCTGAATTATAGAAGAGCAGAGCAGGACTGGATTGCAAGAAGGCTTTCTGAGACTCTGTAGAACTGTCCCACCTCTGGTCAGGCCCTGCGCTATTAAGGCAGATGAAAGGCTCAGGCTCAGGAGAACCATCAACTGGAGCAGAGGGAAATGATCCCATACTTGGGACCCATGTTCCAGAGGATGTTTTGGTACCCTTCAGCACCAAGGACACATCTCCAGGGGAGGGAACTCCAGCTGTTAGGAAAAGGCAGGTGTTAGTAATGGGGGATTCGATTATTAGAAACATAGCTAGCTGGGTTTGTGATAACTGGGAGAACCGTAGGGTGACTTGCCTGCCTGATGCAAAGGTTGCAGATCTCTCGAGATATCTAGACAGACTTATATGTACTGCAGGGGAGGAGCCAGTGGTCATGGAACATGTAGGTACCAATGACATAGGGAAGGGTAGGAGAGAAGTTCTGGAGGCTAAATTTAGGCTGCTAGGAAAGAGACTGAAATCCAGGACCTCTATGGTAGCGTTCTCTGAAATGCTTCCAGTTTCATATGCAGGGCCAGGTAGGCAGGCAAAGCTTCAGAGTCTCAATGTATGGATGAGAGAATGGTGTAAAGAGGAGAGGTTTGGATTTATGAGGAACTGGGGAAACTTTTGGGATAGGGGGAGCCTATACAGGAAAGATGGGCTCCATCTAAACCAAAATGGAACCAGACTGCTGGCACTTAACATTAAAAAGGCTGTAGAGCAGGTTTTTAAACTAAGGGCTGGGAGAAAACCGACAGGTGTGGAGGACCACATGGATTGGACAAAGGCATCTATTGGGGAGGCTCTATTAATAGAGATGCTCTATGTTCTAGTCAGGAGGAGAAGATGGAAGTATGGGTCAGCTCAGATGAGAGACAATCTAATGAAAAAGTCTAACATCAAGAAATGGCAGACAGATAAATAGTAACAAATTATTCAAGCGCTTATACACAAATGCTCAAAATCTAAATAATAAAATGGGTGAATTAGAGTGCCTAGTTTTAAAGGAGGATATTGATATAATAGGCATCACAGAAACTTGGTGGAATGAGGCCAATCAATGGGACATCATACCAGGATACAAAATATATCGGAAGGACAGAACAAGTTGTGCTGGTGGGGGAGTGGCACAATACAAGAAAGAAAATGTAGAATCAAATGAAGTAAAAATCATAAATAAGACAAAATGTTCCACTGAGTCTCTATGAATAGTAATTCCATGCTCCAATAAGAATAATATAGCAGTAGGGATATATTATTGACCACCTGATCAGGACTGTGATATTGACTATTAAATGCTAAGGGAGAGTAGAGAGGCTATTAAAATAAGCAACTCGATAATAGTGGAGGATTTCAACTATCCCCATATTGACTGGGTACATATCTCAGGACAGGATGCAGAGATAAAATTTCTTGACACCTTAAAATGACGAATTCTTTGAGCAGCTGGTTTTGGAACCTACAAGGGGAGAGGCTATTTTTGATTTAGTCCTAAGTGTAACACAGGATCTGGTTCAAGAGGTAAATATAACTGGACTCCTTGGAAACAGGGACCATAATATAATAAAATTTAACATCCCTGTCTTGGGAAACACATCTTAGCAGCCCAACGGGGTGGCATTTAATTTCAGAAAGAGGAACTACAAAAAAAGGGAAAAAGTTAAACAGAAATTAAAAGGTACATTGACAAAAGTAAAATCTCTGCAAGCTGCATGGAAACTTTTCAAAGACATCATAATAGAGGTCCAACTTAAATGTATACCCCAAATTAAAAAACACAGTAAGAGAACCAAAAGTGTCACTGTGGCTTAATAGTGATAGAGATGTAGCCATGTTAGTCTGGGGTAGCTGAAGCAAAATGCAGGACAATGTAGCACTTTAAAGACTAACAAGATGGTTTATTAGATGATGAGCTTTCATGGGCCAGACCCACTTCCTCAGATCAAATAGTGGAAGAAAGTAGTCACAACCATATATACCAAAGGATACAATTAAAAAAAAAGAACAAATACGAAAAGGACAAATCACATTGCAGAACAGGAGGGGGATGCGGAGGGGGGGGGGGGGTTTGTTACGCGCGGGGGGGGGGGCGGGGAGGGGGGGGGGGGGATTTGATTTACAAATCAAAAGAATTTGATTTGTAACTTACTTTGCACATTCCCCCTTTCATTGTTAAAGGTGGCTTACCTAATTCTTTGGGGTCGGATCCCATCTGGGGAGTGCTCTCTCAGCAGGCTGGGTCCTAAACTGCACTCTCCTTGGACCTGAAGTGGTTCAGCGTCTGTACTGCTTCTCGGTGGGGGCAGGGACCTCAGCTCGGGGCCTTGGCTGGGAGAGACCAGCAGAACTAGCCCAGCAGGACCGGGCAGTGAGGAGCCCCAGAGAGCGGGAAGGCGAGTGGCAGGGGCCGTGTCAACACCCTGGGAGACCCCCCCCCCCCGAGGGGTCATCTGTGACTGCACCCCGTCACACATCTTACTCCAACCTTCCAACGTAGTGTAGACCAGGCCTCAAACAGTCCTGCCTCCCTTGAACTCTTAGCTGAAATGAACCGTAAACAGTTTTGTTAAAGTTTTGAACTAGCCAATTATTGTTCATTACTTATTCCTACTTCTGTGATGCAAAAAGCAAGACTGATGTTGGCTACTGCCAAATATGATGGATTAGTAATACTTGTACAGCATCATAAATGAGCATTGTTCTTTACTATTCACAAAGAACAATGCCAAGACTCCCTCTGGATCAAGCTGATGCCAAAACTCTGAAGTCAAATCAAATCCTGAATTTCAAAATATGCCTCCAGGAGTTAGGAAGTGTTATTACCATTGTACAAGGCATGCATGAGAACTTATTTGGAATATTGAGTGCCACTCTGGTGTCCAATGGATAAGAAAGATGATTTCAAACTGAAACAGGCACAGAGGAGGGCTACTAGGATGATTAAAAGAAAATAGAAGAAGAAGAACAACGAGCTTCGGCTGTTCAGCCTAAGCAAAGGAAGAATGATGGAAGATATGATTGCTGTCTATATACACATTCAAGGAACAAACACTAACTTAAATAACTCTTCCCTTCCTGAAGGCACAAGAACAAATGGATATAAATGGACCATCAACTACAGGCAGTCCCCGGGTTATGTACAAGTTAGGGACTGTAGGTTTGTTCTTAAGTTGAATCTGTATGTCGGAACTGGCGTCCAGATTCAGCCACTGCTGAAAAACTGACCGCCAGTTCTGACTTACATACAGATTCAACTTAAGAACCCCAAGTCTCCAAGTCCGCTGCTGCTGAAACTGATCAGCGGCTGATTCCAGGAAGCCCGGGGCAGAGCAACTGTGCCTCGGGCTTCCTGTAGTCAGCGCTGGTCAGTTTCAGCAGAGAGCAGCTGGGGTGCTGCCGGGTTGGTCCAGTAGTGCCCAGAGCGGCACTGTGGGACCAACCGGCAGCGCCCCAGCTGCTCTGCCCCAGGGTCCACAACAAAAGCCTGGTCTGCTGGGAGGGGGGGCACACTAGCTGCACACCCCCCCGCTCCCAAGCAGACCAGGGACACGGGGAGCAAAGCCTCAGAAGCACGGGAACCCGCCGCGGCTGCGGCTTTGCTCCTGGTGCCCCTGGTCTGCTGGAGACGGTCCCCAGCAGACCAGGGGCACCGGGAGCAGCTTTTCTCGCCCCGGAGGTCGAGGTGGCGGACCGCTGCCTGCGAGCTCCAGGGCGAGAAAGCCCCATTCGTAAGTGCGGATCCGACATAAGTCGGATCCGCGTAAGTCTGGGACTACCTGTACTTTAGATTTTAAATTAGATGAAGACTTGTAACCATCAGAGGAATGAAGTTCTAGAACAGCCTTCCAAGGAGAGTTATAAGGGGCAAAAAAATCCTCTAACTTGTTTCAAGACTGAGCTAACTTTATGGAAGGGATGGTATGGGTTGCCTATAATGGCATATCTCCAACAGCCAGAGATGGGACACTAAATGGAGAGGCGGCGAGGAGTCCTGTGGCACCTTATAGACTAACTGAAGTGTTCGTTTTTTGCAGATTCAGACTAACTATTGTACCATGAATGAGAATTTATTTGGAATGCTGAGTGCCATTCGGGTTTCAATTTTTTTTGCCTTCTTCTGCAGAAAGGGGCACACATTTGCTGGCTTGACCTAAATGATGCATTCTCTATAACTTGAAGTCTTTAAATCAAGATTTGATAACTTCAATACTTCAGCCAGAGTTTGTGGGTCTATAACAGAAGCTGATGGGTAAGTCTGTGCCAGGTCAGAACAGATGCTCCATAGATTCTACCCCAGACAGATCATGAATGAGTAGGCAAGTTATGCAATCTAACTCCTACATGATGAAAAAAACTAGCATGTTTCAGCATAGGGAGGAGGATGGCAGAGAGGAGTGCTTTCATGAACTAAACTTATCTGGAGGAACAAATTGGCCCAATCTAACAGATGGACACTGTTTACTGCAGGTCCTGTATGAACTGAAGCTGGGAAATACAAGACAAATGAGAAGCCAACAGTAGAGTATGAGTCCCTTTCCCTCAAAAACATGTACCCAATCCAGAGCATGGAATGAACTAGACACTACATTCCCTAAATGAAACTGTGTAGAAGAGAGGAGATACTTCCGGCCACACTTCCTACCAGCATCTGTGGAAGTTGGAAGGAAAGAAAAGGAGGAGGTAGTGGGTTTGTGGTTTTTTTTGTTTTTACACACACAAAGCACCCATTCTTCCCTAAGGTCTGGTGTACACTGTTAAAAAAGGTCAAATTAAGAGGTGTTGACCCAGCTACATTACTGGAGTCAATGGATCTTAAATTGCGTTTCCGCACCGTCCACACAGCGGAAGCGCAACGGTAGCGAATGCTCCTGTTGGCTTCCCTTAGTCCTCATGAGGAGCAGGAGTACCCACACCTACAGGGGCACCCTCTGAGTTCCATTTAGCAGCTCTATACTAGATCCACTAAAAAAATCGAACCCCAGAAGATTGACAGCAGCAGCGTCTATCTTCCATGTAGCATAGATGTGTCCTAAATGCAGAGTTTAATAGGATGCAGTTGAAAGAATTGGATGGGAATGAGTAAAGATGTTTCCCCTCTATCCCTGTGCAAAGATCTACTGGGAAAGTTTCAAAACAAATGCTGTTTGCCAAAAAGTAATGTTCTATATTAAAAATGGTTCAAATTTTCTACGCGACCCTATTCAGAAAGGGACAAATTCTGAAGTTGGGACATAACGTTTTAGACATAACCCATGCAAACGAAAAAACCAACCAATTATACTTTCACAGAAAGTATAGTATTCAAGTAATTTTACTTACCAAATCCATCTATGTCTAGATTCTTATCAACAACAACATCTAGCAGTGAGTCCCCAACTTTCCCTTCAGCTGTTAGTTTGTCACCATCACGGTTTATGAAGTGGACAGTTATTTTATCTTCTGAGCTGAAAAACAAAAGCACATCCTCATTAACAATAACTGAAGCATATAATGTAACTAGCAGGAAAAGAATTTTAGAGCTTCATGGTAATCTACCAATTTCAAAGAGGTACCAATAAAACACTAAATATTCCCAAAAGTTTTTAACATAAAATCCCAAAGAAATTAACTCTGTAAAGTCCTCAGAAGAAAGTATTTCCTGATAAATTAAATGTCATTAGGTTTCTGAATTTCTGGACGAAACTGTTTAGCTTTAAGAATACAGGCAGTCCCCGGGTTACGTACAAGATAGGGACTGTAGGTTTGTTCTTAAGTTGAATCTGTATGTAAGTCGGAACTGGCGTCCAGATTCAGCTGCTGCTGAAACTGACCGCCAGTTCTGACTTACATACAGATTCAACTTAAGAACCCCAAATCAGCTGCTGCTGAAACTGATCAGCAGCTGATTCCAGGAAGCCCGGGGCAGAGCAACTCTGCCTCGGGCTTCCTGTAGTCAGCGCTGGTCAGT